GCAGCTGATAGTGAAGCTTTTAGTTGTCGGTGAAAACGTTCTACCAACCCGTTTGCTTGTGGATGGTAGGCGGTCGTTCTGAAGCGAGTGATTCCTAAAAGTGTGGTCAGACGACGGAAAGGATTAGATTCAAACTGACGTCCGCGGTCTGTAGTGATGGTTGAAGGGCAACCTAAGTTTGCTACCCATCGTTCGACGAAAGCGCGGGCTACTGTTTCAGCAGTGACGTCCTTGATAGGTACTGCTTCTGGCCATCGAGTGAAACGGTTTACGCAGGTTAAGAGATAAGAGTATCCATTTGAATCTGATAAAGGTCCTACCAAATCCAGATGAACATGGTCGAAACGAGCATCGGGAGTTTTAAACGAGCCTAAGGGACATTTATTGTGTCTGATAACCTTAGATTTTTGGCAGCTTACACAGGAGCGTGCCCACTCCCTCACGTCTTTATTCATTCCAGGCCAGCAAAACCTTTCTGCTATAAGCTTGATGGTTGCACGAACACCTGGATGAGAAAGTTTGTGCAATGTATTGAAGACATTGCGTCGATAATGTTTCGGCACGATTGGGCGATCCCTACCTGTAGATGTGTCACAAAGTAAGGTTTCCTTACCTGTTCCCATCTGTTTGATGCGTAGTTTAAGTGTTGTGGACGATGACTCGTGCTGAAGATCAGTGTCTTCTTTTTGAAGCTCGGCGAGTTTAAGAAGGTCGATTCCTTGGAAACTGTTCAAGGAAGTTATGCGAGATAAGGCGTCTGCAACTACATTGTTTGCTCCAGAGATGTGTTGAATGTCTGAAGCAAACTGCGAAATGTAGTCCAGTTGTCGAGACTCACGAGGAGAGTACTTGTCAGAAGGAGAGCTTAACGAGAAAGTGAGCGGTTTATGGTCCGTGAAAAGAGTGAATTCACGACCTTCGATGTAGTGTTGAAAATGCCGTACAGCACAATACATAGCTAGGAGTTCCCTACCGAATGTGCTGTACCTCGATTCGGTGTCTAGCAACCTTCTAGAGAAAAATGTCAAGGGTTGCCAGGAGTTGTTAACCCATTGTTGTAAGACTCCTCCGATTGCCGAGTCGGATGCGTCTACTGCGATACTAATGGGTGCTTCGGTGTCCTGATGTGCGAGCACTGTTGCTTTGGCAATCACTTCCTTAACTGTGGAGAATGCTTTTCGTGCGTTGTCGTCCAAATTAATGGATTTCGCATTTCCACGAAGTTGGTCGGTTAGAGGTTTCATGAGTAATGCGCATTTCGGTATGAAACGTCTATAGAAACTTACGAGGCCGTTAAACGTGCGTAATTGCTTGACGGTGGTCGGTTCTGGGTAATCCAGAATGGCCGCCACTTTGGTCCTAAGAGGTCGAATGCCTTGAGCATCGATAGTGTGTCCTAGGAAGTCTAACGAGTCGGTTCCGAATTGGCATTTCTGAACGTTTACAGTTATGCCATGTTTTTGAAGTCGTTCGAAAACAATGTCCAGATGCTTGAGATGTGTTTCTCTGCCCGGACTTGCGATTAGACAGTCATCAACATACGCGTGTACGAAGTTGAGACCTCGAAAAACGTCGTCTATGAATCTTTGGAATGTTTGAGCAGCATTCCTTAGACCGAAAGGCATTCGCAAAAATTCATAGAGTCCGAAAGGAGTTATGATAGCTGTTTTCGGTATGTCGTCAGTAGCCATAGGGATTTGGTTATACGCTTTAACCAAGTCGATTTTCGAAAAGACAGTTGTACCTTTCAAGGTAGCTGTCAAATCGTGAATGTGAGGCAACGGGTAACGATCGGGAATGGTTTTCGCGTTCAATCGCCGATAGTCACCAGTTGGACGCCAATCGTTGCTGTCCTTTTTAGGGACCATGTGCAACGGAGATGCATATGGGTACTTGACGGTCGTATGATTCCTAAATCTATCATGTGATCGAATTCGTTTTTCGCTAACCTTAGCTTTTCAGGAGCTAGTCGTCGTGCTTTAGAGAATACAGGTGGTCCTGCAGTCGTGATGTGATGTATAACATTGCTGGTTACACACGGTAGTTTCGTTTGAGTTTGTTGTATCCCAGGGTACTTATCGAGTAGTGGTTGATAGAGTGGGTCTATCATATGTTTAACTGTGACTGGGGATACTCTACAACCAGTAAAAGAAGTTACGCAAACGGACAAATTAGTGTTTCCGTCTACTAGCCTCCGTTTGCGAGTGTCGATGATCAGATTATGGTGTTGTAGAAGGTCCATACCAATGATTGGCATAGAAACATCTGCAACAACGAAAATCCAGTGGATGGGTTTGCGTAAACCCACGTTAAGGTAAACGTACCTTTTGCCATACGTAGCGATCGGTTTTCCGTTTGCCGCCTGTAAGTTTAGGGTCGATTCGTGTAGTCGGTCGTTAGGATTTGCTGGGAGAACGCTAACTTCTGCGCCAGTGTCGACGAGGTAGCGAACTCTCGTTGTCACATCCATGACGTATAACAAACGGCTATGTTCGCCGGCTACGGTTGCCGTTAACGCGTGCCGGCTTGGAAGTTTCCCGAATTGTTTTTCGAATCAGTCGGTTTCGTGTTGGGAAAATTGCAGGGTTTTCTGCAATTTCTGGAGGACTTTCCATACTAGTTATGATACCAGCACTAGTCGGGGTTATCTGTCTCTCGTGGTCTAGAGACAGATCGCTTACGAGAAATGCTTCTACGTGGTGTGCGCGATCTCTTACGGTCGTTACGAAGACTAAGATAACGCGTGAGTGTGTGACATAAGTCGGTTATATCATTCTGAGTCGTTTGAGGTTTTTCTTTGACTGAAAATACCTCGGTAGTAGGAGGTTTCGTAATTTCTAAAATGCGGTCGGCAGATGCAGCTAGCTCTTCTAAGGCGTTGTTCTGGAACGAGACCAGAACTGCTTGCACCTGTTGGGGAAGTTTTGACAAGAAGAGTTGTTTGAATAGACCTTCGTTGAAAGTTCTTGGGCCTATTACCTCTCTCATCCGTTGCAACATGTCCGTCGCAGAACCGTGTTGCAGGTCGATGTTATTGAAGAGTTAATCTAACCTTTGTCGATCGGTTAGGTCTCCGCGTTTAAGAATCGAGCGTTTTAAGATTTCGTAAGGATCGGAAACATCGCTAGTAAACATACTAGGTGTTACGTACCTGTTGAATTCGCGCAGTAGTGCCTTGACTACTGCGAGGAATTGTGCACGTGTGTCGATCACGCCGTGCTCGGAGAAGTCGGCTTCTGCGTAGCAAAACCAGGCTTCGATGTTGTCGGGCCAGAAAGGCATGAGTTGAAACGAAGGCGGGGACAAAGTCTTAAGCTTGAGTACTTTAGGTTTCTGTTCAGTCATGATGAAGTGTGAAGTACGATGATGAACGAGGGGAAAATATATATATATCCAAGAAAAAAAACACGAAAAAAAAATCACAATGTTTAAAAAAAAATAAAAAATAAGGCAATCATATATAAAAATCCCAAAAAGGAACAGACTCACAGTTGCAATAAGGTGTACCAGATCACGTCGGTTTCACCAATGATGATGTCACAGGTATTCAGTGTTTGACAACGCTTTTACCAGTAACACCCTCTAATATATTTCGTTTCCACCCAGAGAAATCAAAAGACAGAGTCGAGGAGATCGGAAGAGTATATTTGGCGATGACCAATATATCGGGATTCGCTGATCTAATCTGGCTAGCGATTGTGGTTGATGTTGAGCACAGCGTTACCACACGTGATCTGGTACGGATGCATGACCGAGCGCCTTCAGCTAGATAAGTCCACTAAAACATATGGTCAGCATCCAATGTCGAAAACTTAGGGCTATTTATTTTGGGGATTTATTTACCGCTACAGTACATTCTAAGTCATACAGAGTGTACATCCGATACACAGACAGACATATGATGGATCTCAGGAGGAAAAGAACAATTGATTGCAGAAATTCGGATTACCATTTAAGCTGTAGCATTTGAGATGCCTTTACCAAATGATAATTTTTTGAACTTTATTGCGCACTGATTAAGAAGTCCAAGTACGATATGTACCTTCGTTCTCATTTAGTTCTATCTACCTTAAATCTCACTATTTCGAGAATTCTTCGTTAGCACATTAGCTCAAATACTTCTAATTATCATCATAAACCATCAAGTAAATCCATAACAACTCATTGAAATTTCTACACAACTGAGGATAGATAAAGAAATGCTTTCAGCTAAATTTAAGGACTTTCGTTCTTACTGAACTATTGCTTACATACGAAGATGATGTGAGAATACATGGCACTAAAACATATTTCGGCTGCTTTTAAATGGTGAAGTACCATCTATGATGATCTTTTTTCTTCTTTTCCTTACATTTTAATACCACAATGTCTTGATTACCAATAAATAACTTATTTATTTAATCACATCTTGAGATAATTCTCTTCTATCATCCAAATTTTTCATCACTACTTTCGACATTGCAATCAAACAACCTTCTGTTTGGTAATTTGACAGCTGCTGGTATCCAAAAACCCCTATTACTCAGAGATAAACACGCTCAGATTACGAGATATGCAAACCAACAAGCAACTACCGAACTGCCAAGCATTAGTCCTATCGAGTGACTAGTATACCGCCCATTACGCGTTGTCAAACTCACGAATCAGCACCCGGAGTAATGAATAGCAAATTCGAAGAAATAACTCAATTTATGAAGGCATGTGACAAAGATACTAAATGCTGAACTTTGAACGATCTTGAACCGGGCTATCCAAATACTCACAACTACCCTCTGGCTTCAATTGTCAGACTATTATAATCTTACGTTTTTTCATTTCTGAATGTTGTCTACCACTTTCATCAATAAACTTAAGTGCGTTTAATGTGATTTTTGAGTCCTTGATTCACTTTTATTTCCAGATAATCTCCACGCTCCTTCAACACGCAAGGTACCTTCAGGTTAGAATCAAACCCACCGAAGAAGGAACGTTACTGCTTGTGTAGACCCATCTAGTTAAAAATGGATTTCCAACACCGTGTAGGAGGGAAGACCGGTTCTGGTGGTGTAGCATCGGAAGCTGAAGCTAATCGCGACCGTAGGGAACGTTTGCGACAACTGGCACTTGACACGATTGATCTGAACAAAGACCCGTATTTTATGAAAAATCACTTGGGGACATACGAATGTAAACTGTGCCTTACTTTGCACAATAATGAAGGGAGCTACCTTGCACACACTCAAGGTATTTTTATTCTCTACTTTATCCCATCCTGATTTTATATCAGGTTCATATGAGTTTTGTTGTTCACGTACCATACAGAATACAGGTTTTTTTATTGACCTTACTCTATATGAGTTATCGTGTGTTCTCCGTGTTTCGCTCTCAAACCTCGTTCTCGTGAGTGGTTTAAATTGGCTTGTTGCAAGACGTCGAACGAAACTTGCAATTACTGAATCCTCGGTTTTCTTCACGAAACTCAATAAAATTTCTAGGTAGGATGCTCTAGTCCTAGCTTGTGTACGATTAACAACAAGGTTGTGTAAATTTTGCCAATCACGAACTTAGTACACAGATCTGTAGACGGTATTTCGCTAACATTGGGACTATATCTAAGATGTTCTGACGAACGGCTAGGTTAACTGCACGTATTTGAGTTAAATGGCATGTTTTGTGTGAAAATCACATATCACAGACTAGTCACAGTTCATGCTTTCCCACTTCCTCACTATAGAGAACATACCTAGAGATTGATATTTTGCTGTTCTCTAGATGTATACATTTTCCGAAGTACTGTAAAAATATTTAATACCACTGACCAGTTTGTTTATTTAACCACCGTTTCGATCCGCCTTTTATCGGTAATACATCTAGGTATCTAACGGTTGGTCATGTGTAACATTTACTAATTCTATGTAGGAAATATTCGTCGTATCATAGTTACCACGTTCTTTAGATCGGTATAGAGCAGCTTACTGTTTTTACAGCGTAATTCACGGTCGAATATTTTTGTATATATTGCTAAAACTGCTTCATTATCGCCCTTTAACTACAAGTGTAAGATCAAACCTACCTTGATCTAACAGTCTTGTACTCTGTGTAGTCCAACCAGTTTCTGAGTGCTTATATTCTAATTTAATTCTCGAATCCTGCTTTGCCTTCGCATTAAATTGAAATTTGCTACTATCTCCATCAGCCGTCGTTGGTGATGCTCAATAAGAGATTGTTGCTCATTCGGAAGCACATATTTAAACTCGGATCATGCCCTAGTTCGAGCACTCGTTTGTTTACGTCTTACTGGAAAAATACCCATTAGAGCCCAACTTAGTGATGAATACATTTAGGAATATATTTCAGGAACTACTAGATAAGCAGCTAGTCAACCATGAAAGCAATACACAACCCGAGTTTGCTTGGGGTGGGATCCAAAAAGCTATGGAAACAGCAGCGATATCTTCTAGTAACAAACCAAAATATTAGGGAAAATCAGTGAATTTTAGTGGTGTCTACATAACTAATATATGCTCGGAAACTCATCCCATCTGGCTCTTAACATGAAGAGGAGCGAAGACAGCTCAAAAGTAGGCTGAATAAAGGCCTATATAGTGATTGTGATCAGTGGTAAGTATCTAAAGCAGGAGACGGAAAGTGCAGCAGCGATAGGTAACAGTAGACAACCGTTCAGACTTATCAGGGAAGCCGGTATTTAAAACACGACTGTTAGTGAAACTATCACAGAAAAAGACGGCCATTATTCACTCTCAATCCAGGAAATTGAACCTATAGGCAGAAAACTATAGGGAACCTTCAGCCACTTTAGTTACCCACTATCTCCAAGCAACCTGAGTAGCAAATTTATGTAAGTCTCTCAACTTTTAGTAAGGTTGAAAAGGCTATAGGTAATCTAATGGTCTGAACCATGTTAGTAGATGCAAACTACTCTGTTAGGGTCCGTGTGACGATTGTAACCAATGATTAGAGACTCTGGATGACATGGCCCAGAACCGATCACCATGGTGTAGGTGTATACACTTTCTGTCTTCCCTTAAATTATGGGATTAAAATCGCTTCATATCTTTCTTCCTGTACTATGTCCTTATATTCAGTCTTTCTCTTATACATTACCGCCACTGAATTAACTACTTCTATGAATCCGGTGTTCATCTTGTTGTGCTAATGAGGTATGGCAACTTGTACCGGTGCACATATGTGCCTGGTCCTACGTTGTATTTGGCTGACTGACAAATAATCTAAAACAAGGGACAAAAGCAGGGCCCGATTGGCTAATCCTTGAAATGTTTGAGGGTGATGGTTCAGTTTTAGCAGTTAGATTAACTGAAATATTAGCTAAAATCTAGAAACTGGGCGTAACTCATCAGACTATTGTCGATTACTGATCGTCTGAGTTCACATGAAAGGACTAAAATCCTTTTGTAACAGTCACAGAGGGATCAGCTTAACTAATACAGGGACTAAAATATTAGCCTCATTCATAACTCGATGTCTAAGTAGGGCTTTTGAAGAGCAGACCTGAAAAATCCAGGCTGGTTTCAGACCTGGGTGTGAATGTATAGACCAAAATTTCACCCTTCGGTCGATCCTGGCACATCAAAATCCTACTATAATTGTGTTCCTTGGCCTTGAGACAGCGTTCGACTCTGTTGATCGTGAGGTTCTATGTCGGTTTCTATCGCTAAAAGGCGTCCCAAAGAAGTACATCAACCTTGTACAAGCTTTCTACCCAAACACTTTTGACGAACTGTCATCGGAATTAGTTACTTCAGATAGCGTTCGTCAAGGTTGTCTACTTTCTCCATTTCCTTTTAACTTTGTCATTGACATACTTTTAGAGATAACACTTTCACCATCTAACTTCTCGGGGGCTGATCTACCAGGAGATTCACTGGATGAATTAGAATACGTAGATGATATAGTTCTGTTTAGTGAAGACTGACAAAATGCAGAGTTTTCTGACCATCTTAAGCAACAATGCAGGCATGTTTGGAATCAGGTTCTATCCCTCAGAATGTAAAATATTACTTCAGGATTGGCTGGCGTCAGTGCCTAAATCAAGGGTAGGGAATGGATCAGTTAAAAAATCGATTACTTCACTTATCTTGGGAGTCTCATCAGGCGGCTCGACTAGTTTTTGCTAACTTGCGTCACTTGTGGTGTAGGTGAGATCTCCATCTTCCAACCAGTGGACAAGTTTACTGGGCAGCAGTTCTCCCCGTTCAACTTGGGTGCGAAACATGACCATTAAGAATAGAAAATATTCTTAGGTTACTGGCATTCGATCGTAGGTGTCTACAAAACATTGCTCATGTATTTTAGGACCGCGGAATAAGCAATACCTGGGTTAGGAGTAGAATGCCAGGTAACGATGGTAAATTAACTAATGAGGTAGTAAATATTCATCAGATGAGGTGGTCGAAACATGTGTTATGTATGCCTAACCACTGCCTACCTCGACGGGTACTGTTTTCTGGTACGGAGTGAGTAGGATAAAGGAAAGCTGGGGGCGGCCAACCTAAAACATAGCATCAGTTCTTGAAGTCATTAAGAATTGATCTTAGCCATGTTAATAGTTACAAACTACCTGGTTCGGGTCCGCGTGATCATCATAGTCAATGGTTAAAGACTGAATAGCATGGCTCAAAATCGTTGGCAATAGCACAGTTTTATCTATTCTTTATATTCCCTCAAATCATGAGGTTCTAAATTCCCCATAACTTTTTTGTTTTGATTTCACTAATTTATATTTTCTTGAGTCGTATCTTCGATGCGTAGTCTTTCCTATCACCACTGAAACTTACTACCTCTACTCTTCTGGGGCTTGGCTTGACAATTTCATTTCTCTGTGCGAATGGAGTATGACAGCTTGAACTTGGTGTACATACGTACAAAGTTCTACGTTGTAATTGACTGATTGTTGCTATCTAACTTATTTCTTTAATTATATGATGTTTTCTTTAGGGAAAAAGCATCAGTATAATTTGCAAAGACGAGCTGTTGAGCAGGCCCGCGAGGCTCCATCTACAATGCAACCAGAGCGCGTTAAAGTAGAGCCGAAGAAATTCATTAAAATTGGTCGTCCTGGATATAAAGTAAGTTTCTGTGTATATAAAAACGTGACATATATATATATATATATATATATATATATATATATATATATATATATATATATATATATATATATATATATATATATATATATATATCCGTCTGGTTGTAGAACCAATATTTATGATTTTATGGCGGATTAATATTTCCGTGATCTTTTCTTTTCACATCTCTTACGTAACTTGACGGAAATATATGGTTTCATAGGTTCTAAATGGTGCTGTTTGTAGTTGAATAAATAGTGGTTGAAAACTTAAAGGATCTTCGTGGTAATTGTTGTTTCTCCTAACCGATTAGCATCCCAGTTAACCGAAATATGCTCCAGTCATTCTTACTTTAGAATTCGAAATATGTTTTGTTTTAAAATAATCCTATTTAAACTCGTGGTTAGTTATGTTTGGATTAAAACTTACAATTTCCAACTACGTTACCTTGTTTTTTCTTCTCAGGTAACCAAACAAAAGGATCCGGATGCTAATCAACAGTCTATGCTTTTCCAAATTGATTATCCAGAAATAGCTGATACTTCTGGTGTAATACCTCGACATCGGTTTATGTCTGCTTATGAACAACATGTTGAACCACCAGATAAACGATGGCAATACTTATTGTTCGCTGCTGAACCATATGAAACAATTGCTTTTAAAATTCCTAGTCGTGAAGTAGATAAAGACCCCAAGAAGCTGTGGACTTATTGGAATTCCAGCTCTAAACAATTCTTCCTACAGGTTAGTTTGAAGTTGTTAAACAAAGTGGGTAGCGTAATAAAATTTTCGTTGACTGTTGGTATTCACTCCCAAAATACTTTGTTTTAATCTTGTATGAGTAGTTACAACGATGAGCAAGATCATTTTACGGCAATGCTAGCTTTCTAAAGAGGGGATTTATGATACAATTCTGATGTTTAAACCTTGATAATTAGTTAAAAAGAGGTTCAGACCAGTAGCTCATTGACTGAAAATTGATTGCCTCGAATACTACAAAGCCACTTTAGATTATACTTCTCATAAACAGTTAATCAAGAATCAGGTCATTTTATTAGTTTCCATAATAGATTTTTTTATAGTGATGGGTGTAGGGCCCAAATTAATCCGCATCATAAAATTACGGTTCGTGTGATGCACAATACTCTCAACTTAACCATATTCTTATAAGCATCGTGCAGATTATTTTACCTCTATCAACAATTTTGTTTCATGTTAATTATGTTTTGGGGAATGACCGGCAGTGGAATCCAGAACACACGTTTCGTCTTTATATTCATTGGATGGATGTACCTAAATTCCAACGGATTCGACTAATTTCGAGTCGTCTGCTTAAGGTATGCGTATTACAACAGATGCTGATTAATTTCAGTCCCGAATTTCAGCAACGATGTAAATAAATAAATAATGACCTGAATTCATGTTAATATTTCCAAGATCTTATGGGAATGCATAGTTTTGATGTCAGAAAGTTAAAAATGAATATGTGGGGGGAAATCTTCACTATTAAAATACTGATTTGTTTTTAGCTCGGCTGATATAGAATTAAAAATGATTGATTTCATAGTTGCACTACAGTAAAAGATTATATCTATTTTTAACTACGGACTCACTTTTCGAGATTAATTCGCAAGTGATATCAGCGTAATAAATAAGAATCACGTAAATAATCCGTTAGACCACGTTTGTGAGCTGGTCTTAATTTTCTTAATAGAATAAAACGTTAAAATAGATGGGTTTTTCGAATTTTCGTAACATTTTATCACTGAAATGTATATACTTGGTTGATACCTACATTCGCCTTACTCATCATCCGAAACCTTGCGGTACATCTTTATGTAAATGTTTTTCTATACCTTATATTTTTACGTTTGTGGCAATTATTCGTTCACAAAATACCGTGCTCTAATAGTTTTCAGCGAACTGAACTGTAGGGTTCAAAACCAATTCCAAATATTGAGATGTTTTGCCACGATTTTGAACAACTAAATTATTGTTATATTCTGTGATACTTTGCATTCAACATGACCAGCTGCTAATTTTGATGTTACCACTTTCCAACGGCAGTCTTCACTGTTATAATCGGTAAAAGCTAGGTTTTTATACTACACACGGAATGCTGAACGTTTTCGCACAAATAAATTAACTCATCCAACAAACACCCAAACTGCATTGTGATTTATCACAGATATTTATTTCTAGTGTGATTTTCAACATTGTTAGTGTTTTCACTTTTCCAAACACATCTCACTTATTGTGCAACTTTATTTTCCTGATGTAGTTCGCTTTCAAACTAGAAAGTCAATCATCTTCTACCGCTATGCTTCGTGATTTAGAAATGCAAAAAGCTAAAGCTCAACATGCCCAACTTCAGCTTCAATTACCTCCACCGCCACCGCCACCACCTCCGCCTCCACCACATGCTATTGGTCTTCCTATTCCAAGTTTCCTTCTTAATATGCCTTTAAATACCAGCATGACTAACATGCCGCCGCCCCCGCCTCCGCCACCAATTATGGTTGGAGCAAAAGATACAAAGCCCTTACTACCTCCTCCTCCTCCACCACCACCTTCGTTCTCACTAGGTGCTCCGCCGCCCCCTCCACCACCGCCCGCTTTTGGAGTAAATTCTAGTGGTGTAGGGACAAATGCTTCTTCAGCACCAATCCCACCACCGCCGCCACCAACACCCCCAGCTTCCCTTCAACTGAATGGGAACTAAGCAGTTGATTGTTGTACTCTGTTAATATTTATATACACGCATGAGTTATTTACCTGTTTGTTCTAATTTGCTTATACTCGTCAGTTTCCGTTGACGGGTGTTGTGATCATAGAAAAAATGATGTGGATATAATCAAATAGGTGTAAAATCCACAAATCTGCCAACATTATGGATGAATGTCTCATGTATAATCTTGTTGCTAAGGTCGTACATATTTTTACACGAAAATGACGTGATATGCGGTTGGGGATAGTATTTAATCCATGTCTTGAAAATTTTGATTGACCAGAACCGAGATCGTTTGTAGCAGCACTGGAAAGTAAATTCGGATTCCCACTGAAGAATTAGTCACTATTGATCGGTGCAGGGGTCCTCGAAAACTGTTCTCTCGTTAGTCATTGCTGTACCACAGATTTCATGATCATACTGGATTTTCGTCGTCTTAGTAAGTACAGGATTCCATGAAAGACGGTTCCAGTCGCATGATATCGACCTAACATTTCAGTTAATGGGATACAAAAATTTTTGAATATGGTGGCACTTGATCGTTGTAGAAATTACTTGTGAATGTTTTCATCTAAATTTCTGGCATAAAAGCTTTAAGTGCATGTCTAAATAAAACAAACATGCGTAATTTTGGTGAGATATATATTTTGAGTGGTTACACCTAGTTGTACTAAACCCTCATGATTCAAGTGCAATATATATCTCACAATTCAGCTCCTCGTCATTTTCCAGTGGCACCAATAGATTCAGTCTTCAAGAATTGGCACGTCTGTGTCATCTCTTTGTATGATATAAAACGTTGACGTGGAACCTAACATAGAAGCATTCCATTCTTAGTTTTCCTTTTTATAAACAGTGGAAATGTATAAGTCACATAGTCATAGACATCTTAGATCCTGGGATAAGTGCACATCGAAGTGGAGCTACGCTTCAAACCAGAACAGCAACAGAAGATCCAATAGATGAAAATCGATAGTCGGAATAGTAGTAGTAACGATAGGAAAACGGAAACGTAAAACAAAAGAATATGTAATGAGATAGAACGTAGCTGGTTTACACTGATTACTTCTAGCGGGACAGGGTCGAAGTGTAAACAAATACCCGAGGGAATTACACACTTTTTAGCCACTTGGAACTCTACCTACTCCCCCCTCCAAAAAATACTAAGATGGCTTCTCAGATAATCACTGGTAAGTAAACTTACGACAAGACGAATCTCATTTGTAATTCAACTTAGAAACATGTAATTAGATACCCTGAACGCTGACTGGGACAAAACTAATCCAAATCATTTTGCAACTGATACCAAAGCAAGACTTTATCTAATTCTTTTGGGACATATTTGCAAAACTACTAACACATAAAGTTACCGATGGGGCGTCGCTGTATTGGCCAAATTATGTTGTCCCCATGTAAGTGTTCTAATTGGACAAAAAGGCGAGACCACGTTACCGATTTTGTGATGTTTGTTCGGTATTCAATTCCTCCGTTTAATATTTTCTTATTTTTAGCGTTAGTTTGTTCATTGTAACATTGGTTACATTTTACTATGATTTGTATTAATTCGGTATAAACTTGGTTCACTATGAAATACAGCATGCATTTTCGTAGTAACTCTGTATCCCCTCTACATGTGGTTGATGTGAACAGAAACAAAGAATCCATAACAAACAACGGCAGTTATTTTTGGGACGTTATTGTGCTTGATTCAAAGTTCTTAAAATCCTAACATTTGGTTTTATCCCTAGGTTATTCTATCGACCATAATCTTTCGCTTGATGTGTGATTGACTGCCACACCCTTTTCTTTGCCAAAAGCCTTGTTGTTTAAACGTAACCTTTTGTACTCTATTTTTTCTGTTCTAATGCCCAGTTTGGACATAATTGTATTTTTCCAATTGTTTGTACGTTGTGGTTGGTTTAGTCGTCTCTACCCATGTATCTTTTCCCACTAATCCTAATCAAGAACAAATCGGGTAATGTTCCAGTCTTCGTCTTTCTTCCCAAGGTCATTAGTCGCGATTCGGACTCATGCGTTTCTAGCCTCATGGTTAAACCAGTTAGCTCGCCGTGTCAGAACCTCAACCTAGAGTGAGACAAGTTCTCTCCTGTATATTATTGGGTAGACAGATCAAGTACGTAACAAAGATATATGTTGACTAGTCATCAAATGGCAGTAAAATTAATAAATGAGTGTATTTTAATAAAAAAAAATTAAAGCGGTTTCGAAGGCAAAACAAATCTACAATCAATTTTGGTCTTATTATTTGCGTAGTGTAAATCATTAGCTCATTGTTCAAAGTAATCAGCTATTCAAAATCGAGGCAGTTTTCCCGTCATAAGTATTCACGGTTTCATCAGTAAACATCTAAGCCTGTTCTGTTTTCTTCATTTGCAAATGTATATGCTCCTGTAAGAAGTGTTACGAGTAGAGTTACACCAGCCCTAATGCCACATCATCGTGCACTACTCAGTGTAGTTATCTATGTGAAACTCAGTATCATATAATTTAATGAGCAAGGACTCTGAGACAGGCTCTCCTTCCTACATCCTATGCCAGAATCTAATGTTGTTTTTACATGCGTACTCCTAGTTACTGTAAGGATTTTCATCCGAAATTTTTGGCTGTCCTGGTTTATTTATTCAGTATTTTTTATAGCTTTTGTCCACTAATTACAGCGTTGACGATCTCCCAATGCCATACGAGTTTGACATAACGATTGTATTCATAAATACATTACTACTACCTTCAGTTTACTAACAATTTCCCTTTGCTACTTAAATTCTACGGGCTTACGTCCCTCCTGTAAAGCATTCCACACACGCAAACCTAAGATATCCACACGTGAGCTATAATAATTCTGAATTTATACGTGACTTTTTTACTTGGTCGGTCAAAGTGCAGTGATGTTGAGAAATTGTCAAGCAAGTTTGTAAGCTCGCTGACTTGCCTTCAAACAACAACTATACTGTCCAATAATTCATCCTGCCCCATGCTTGCCACGTAATCCTCGAACCCGGTAAGTTGAGAGACCAGTTCCAATTACCCCTACAAACCATATTGTGGACAACTGACAAGTGGTTAATAGCATACTGTTCACCCTGAACCGACTGACAACAGATGTAACACCAGTAAGATTTAATATCATTCCTCCTGAACTGGTCTGTATACTAGGTCTAAATAACTAACCGCTGTCGCATTTATTACTTATCAATGCACTTGGTTAATATATACCCCAGCCTCTTTCGGTCTTTGTCATTTTATGCATGCTTTTGAAAAAAGCTACTGATGTCCGCATGATTCTGTTATTTTTTCATAGTGGTGTGCCTCAACGCAGTCAACATAGGTGTCAAGACAATACAACCGTCAACGCTGAACTAAACATGTACGCGCTGAATAATACCTTGAGACAAATACCAAGGTTACAGTACCTCGGCGTCTTCACCAAGTCATCCGATCAGGTTAAAAAATCGATTGTCGAGAAAGAGTGATGAGATATTGACACCACCAGACAGTAAATTCCAGAAACCATGGTACAGTGTCGGAGCGTCCCGACCCCGGTGTTTCTAGCGCGCTTTGTCAATAGCATTATGTTAAAGGAAATGAAACATTGTTGGCAATCCCATACTGTCAAAAACCTATACCACTTGTTCCACAACTGTTTGTTTACCGTTAATTTTGTCAGTTGAATTATTTAAGTGTTATTTGAATAGTAACAATTTGTTCACCTGTGTTATTACCACTATCATTGACAGTCAAGGGATATGCCCCCCTCTCCAGGTTATATGTTAGTTAGCTCATAAATATATGTGCATGCTCGAATCTTGTCAATTGGTTTGAATCCGAATTATATTAAAGCCAAGCCACTATAAACCCGTCAGTGCTCAGGAACTTCAAGGTCTGTGACTAATTTTAGTCCGTCCACTTTCAGAGCAAGAGGGAAATTGATAGTAGTATTGAAGTTAGAATTTAAGCGATAGTTTCTGGTAGTCCTTAAAAGACATAATCAATGACGAAATAATTCTCTGTATTTTATATTTATAGCAAAGCGGACACTATTAATAACATTAAATTGTTTATACGTAGAACTTTACAAAAGCTTTCAAGATTTATTAACTTATCTGTAACAAATAAAAGACCGGGTATATAATCACACGTTGCGTGAGCACAACAAAAGAACGTGAAATTGATAATTAACCATGTTTTTCACAGCAAATATAAACAGGAAAATACGAAATAAACCACCAAAATATTTAATACAAGGCTGAAGTGCTTATAATTATTTAGTAATTAAAGAAAGCATCACAGATTGTTGTATAAATTATGGCCTAAAAAAGGACAAACAGAAATAAGGATTTCTAGCAAAGCAAACTCAGATTCGTCAAGAGAAATTTCAAGTCGAACTGTAGTTAAATAGTAATTCACTAAATGAAAATAGATAAGCTGTACATAGATATAAATATATCATTTTTATAGGTACGGAAATACATTAAGACCAAGTTTGCCGAAGTAAACCAAGAAGAGAAATGAAATGTCGAAAACAACTAAAGATCGTTCAAGAATAGCTATTATATGTATGTAGTGTGTGAAAGTCTTTGCAAGTTTCTAAGGAATTTCTGAACAAATAGACTTGATATTCAACAACCACAGGTTTTCCACTGGTTCTCTTGAGGAGGCTCGATCGGTTTCAGTTCAATATCTGCAGGGAAGTTTTGATAAATAAAACCAGTTACAAATTTTTGAATGAAACGAGAGAAGAATGGGTAATGCAGTATATCATTGGTGTATATTATGGGGTTATTAAAGTTAAGGATGAATAGGCCTAAATATACGCATATATCCATAGATGTTAGAAATGAAAAATACAATCCAATGACCAAATAATTTTGGGCGGTTGATTCTTAAATGTTAATATGAGAAGAACTTGCTGTCAAAAATTATGCTACTACAAAAACAAGGTAACCATATCATGTATAAAACATTTGCTGCTATTT